AGCTCTTTACTGGGTACAAGGCCTTTACATCTGCCAGCACCTGCAGCATCTCTGGAAGATAAGCTCCTGGAGGTGAACTATAGTAGTTAAAGGCTTGGACTTCCCTGTCCAAAACCTAGCTCTGCCTCTCTCCAGCTGACTGACTTTGAACGAGACTCTTAACCTTCTTGCTCATCCTTAAAGTGGAAATGATAACAAAATCTTCCCCATAGGGCTATTGTCAGGATTACATAGTTAATATGGTAAAACACTTAGGACATTGCTTTCCTACTATTACAGTATTCACCACTTGGAACTTGATACCCCTAAGAAGGGCCCATGATGACAATAACAGAAAACTGGAAAAGGTTCACTGTAACCTCTACCACTGCTCCCTGCACTGCTGTAGCTGCTGGTTCAGTTTCTTCTAGGCCAGCCACTCTGAAGAGTCTGGGAAAATTATCTCCTCTCCCCGCCCACCTAATCCAAAGAATCTATCTTTATAAGCAGAGAGCTGAGGGGTGGAATCATTTCTGCAGAGCCAGCAAGCACTTATCTACATCATGCTTTGAATCCAAGAGCCCAAGGTAGTCATAGTTCTTTCTACTCAGTCCCACGAACTTTCTAGGTCCTGCTTTGTAACGTTCCCAGGAACTAGACTGTGGCTTAACTCTGCCATTTAGCAGGGGCCCATTCTAGGCACTTCTTTATTTTGTTACCCTCTCTCCATGTAAGCTTCTTGTCCACATAATAGGGCAGTGTTGGGACTTGCTCAGCATAATGTGTTTTTTGGGGGTGGGAGGGCTATGGATTAGAAATAAACATAAAAATAAACACACAAAGACATACAAATATAAAAGAGTGAGGATTGGGTGGGCCCAACTTGCACAACTTCAAACTAGTCCCAGGTTTATTCATTTAAAGGACAAAAATATGGAAAAAGAAAAATTAAAATACAAAGCCCCTTGTTTTCAGATGTTAATCAAATAAAAATACAAAAACAACTGGCACCATGTAATTTCTCTAATCTTTTGAGACAAATTCTGATAAACACATGTGACTTTTTTTAAACCAATACTGCTCTGTAGTTTCAGATAGCTAGCATATTGATATACAAATTGCTTTTATCGCCATACAAATAATAACTCACAAAACTGCATTTCTACATGTGTCTAAAAGACACTCTGTTTGTTCCAATTAGCTGCTCTATCCAGGGAGGAATACGAGCTCCTGAGTAGGACCAGTGAGACTGACAGGTTCCAGTGTGTTTTGTCTGTGCCTCAGACTCCTCCCCTGCGAGTGCAAATCAGCTGTAGTGCCTACAGCTCAGGTTGTTAGGAAACCCAAGCAAATTAATACATTAAATGCTGCAGGTAAAGCCCAGTTCTGGGAATGTAAGTGGAAACCCAACAAATGCCAGCTCTTTGTATTATTTTCTTTCTTCCAGTCTTGCTCTCTCTATAGTCTTTTAAAATGTATGCTCCTTGGTTTTGATGCCCAAAGGAGACAAGATCATCACTCTATGATCACCCTGCAATGCACACACACACAGCCTAAGACAGCCTTCACAGGCTCGATGCTTCCATGGGGAGATGGTACTGAAGACATGGCTGAGGTCACCCAATCCTCCTCTCTTGCACTTGCAAGTGACTGTCAGGAGCACTGGGGGTGACCAGGGCTGTAAAGAGGTGGTTCTTTGCTGAATGGGTTCTCACAACAGTCTATATCTCACATCACCTTCTCAGGAGTCCATGGTGCAGTGTGACTGATATCAGCTGGTGTTTTCCCATTTCTTTAGTGTCTGCCTGCTGTCTAAGCTAATTTAATGGCCTCTATAGCACTAGAAAGTTGGATATCAGATGTTCACAGGCATGAGGAAGGGGCTGAGAGACAAACCCAACTGAGGAAAGCTAGCACAGAATCAGCCATACACCCAGGAACTAAATCACAAAAGCACATAGATTACAAATTGTGGAGATTCTTCTGCTAACATCCAATTAGCAAACATAACCCTCTAGGGAACCTCCTGCCTTCCTAGGCTTTTCTATAAAGTGATCCATAACGCGGGTGAAGGAATTCAAAATGTTATTCTCTGTGTTCTCGTGGCCAGAACTGTGACCCTGACTAGGACGTGGAAAGGGTAGAAGATAAACATGTGTTAACGTGACTGTGTGACACACATGTGTGTCTTGTGTGTTGTATGCATGCTCAGGTTGTGGAGTGAACTTGTGTTGGGGAGAAGGGAGAAAAGATACATTAATAAAGATTAATCTTCTTTTTCTCAGCCATTCTGCACCCCCAACCCAAGTACTCCTTTCTACCACTGGCCCACGGAAATATTTATCAGCTAAATATCCTGGAGCCTATGCTTGGGGACATAAGAGAGTGTACCTAAATGGATGGTTTCGCCATGGAAAATCTGCACTTCCTGGGGTCAGTCCTGTAGTGCAGCAGTTAAATCACTGTCTAGATAGAGCCAGACCCCACATAAACAACAGTGGTGTGAATCCCAGTCCCAACAACTTGAAAACACCTGGGTCTGTGTGACCATGCCCCCAAATCCTGACAGAATGGATAAATGGAGGAAAAAGGATTGCAGCATGACCATGCCTCATGGGGAGAGGGTGCTTTGCTTTCTCTCTTTCTGGCAAGTGTACATGTCCTCTGACAATTAAAATATATATATATCTGCCCTACCTAAGGGGCATCCATTGATTCCAAATGATTTTCCATTTTCCTGCCTAGGAAGTATGGTCATTCTAGTGATCCTCATAGAATACATATGCATCAAGCTTAGGCTTTATTTTCTATTTCCCTGTGACTTTTCTAGAGTCTTCTAGTTTAACATTGGTTTCCCTATGGAGTATAATATGTCTAGGAGTTCCCTGCTCTTCACTCCCACAGGAGCAGCCTTATATCTACCTTTTCTACTGAATTGTCTCCTCCTCCTTGCATCCTATGGCAGTGACTACCTTTCTCCCTTTTTGGGCCATTAGCCTGCCTTTATTATTTGACTTTTTCTTCTGCATACACCTCATCTCACCAGGTAGACTGTGAATTCATCACAGAAAGCAAAGACATATGTCCTGAATCACTTATTTCCTTCACAGGACCACACAGGCCCAAGACACTGAATTCAGTGAAATCAGTGTAATGACCAGTTTCTGTCACTCTTGACCACATGTTTTTTTTTAATTGCCAGAGGCTTTTTTGTTTTGTTTTGTTTTGTTTTGTTTGGGGGGGGGCAGGTTGATTTTTGCCAGAGAGTGTGTGCTTTCTCCAGAGGGGGACACAGAGAGGGAGAGGAAGAGGGAGAAAGAAAAAACACACTGCAATGGGGGTTGTCAGGTCACAATCCCTTCTCCATCATTCCTCCAACCTCTCTGGATTTGCAGTATGTGTGCACATGCACCCAGAATGTTTTTCAAGTCACCAGAATCAAGATTCGAACCATGGTTGGCCATGTGGAAATCAGCTCTCTTAACCACTAAGCTAAAGGGCTGGTCCCCAGATGCTTTTATTTCTAGTAAAGTCACCAGCAATGCTCGTCTTTAGTGACCTAGAAATGTATCTCTCTTTCTTGACACAGTACCTCCCTATCTCAAGATTGCACAGTGACATAGCCATCCACTCAGTCACCCTGGTGAGAAACCAGGCATTATCCTGGGGTTTCCTGATTACTCAGGACAGTATAGACTATGCAGGGAGAACAAATCAAAATGACCTAACTGAAATGATTTTCCATTTCACTGCACATCCATTGTGAATCAGTGGAGGGCTGATAAACATGTTTTATACTACTTCTAACTACATCCCATGAGGCATAATTTGCTATAGAGATTCACCTAACTACAAGTTTAGAAATTAAGGAACCAGTTGGAATTATAAGTGATCACCACTTACTCAAAATGTTTCCCATATTTCCCTGTACTCCCAACTCTCCACCCATGACCAGTCTATCACCAATGCCAACCCATTAAGTGTTCTCTATTTGCATAAAATGTCGATTTTTTCTCATCACCAAAGATGTTGTTTATTTTAAGCCCTCATCACCACAGTCTTCAGTGAGTCACCTTCCTTTTCCCAAAACCAAAGCTCCTCTTCCTCATCAGACATAATCATCTTCTTAAAACACAAGTCTAGGGACCAGCAGTTGGTACAATAGCTATGTTGCTGGATTCCCATATGGTTGACCATGGTTCGAGTCCTGGACCTGGGGCTTAAACTCACGCCGGGTGCATGTGAGTGTGTGCTCAAGATCCTGAGAGAATGGAAGAGAAGGGATTGAGGCATGACCATCCCCCCTGGGGAATGATTTCTCACTTTCTGTCTGTCTCTCTGTCTTTCTGGAAAGCACACATGCCCTATAACAAAAGCCTCTCAAAAACAAAAACAAAAGTCTAGTGATGTCAGTCCCCCCTATTTAAAACATTTTAATAAAGTCAGCCCATAGAGTGGTGATTAAGGCAGCTGGATCCCACATGGCCAACTGTAAGTGCAAGTCTCTGAGCTGGCAGCTTAATAAACGTGCCAGATGCATGTAGGTGTGTGCTTAAAATCTGGAAAAGAGGGAGAGATGGAGGAGGAGAGATCGTGGCATGACTGTGCTCCATGGGGGGAGGGGTACTTTCTCAATCCCCATTCCCATTATCTCTCTCTCTCTCTCTAGTGAGTACAAACAGCCTCTGGCAAAAGTATTTTTAAAAAGAAAAGAAAAAGAAAATAATGGATCCACATTATCTACAAGAGACCTGTCTTCACAGGACCCATAAGCCAATCTCACATCAGCTATGTCTACCTGTCCAGTCTTGTGCCCTCATATTACATGAGGGGAGTTGTCCAGGCAAGAGTCAGAAAGAAGCTGAAATCCAGCCCCCCTCTACTTTCCAAGGCTCGATCTCTGGTGATCGGTTGCATCTTACAGAAAAAGAAGTACCTGTTTCTCCCTGGGCACCTTTTTCTAATTCAGACAAATCTATTACTCACATTCACCCAGAGAGGAGCACATCTTTTTATCCCACACAAAGACTTTATTCTATTGGCTTCAATAAGGACTACTGGCAATTTTCCAAACTCTGCATCCCATTTCTCACCTACAGACATGGACACATGCTACCCCTGTGCTACCAATGCACCTCCCGCAAGACACCCTTCCTTCTGGTGTGGTAAATTGCATAATCCTGAAGAGTCCTATTCAGGCATGTCTTCACACATTTCCCATCAAAGGTAATCACTCCTTCCAAGGGTTGCTGGAGTCCTCCAAAGCAAGTTCCGAGACAAGGATTGGGCGCAGGTGGTTTATGTGGGGTATGGACTCCAGGAAGCATAAATGAAGGAATGCTGAAAGCAAGGTAATAGGACGAGAAAGTCCAGTAAAGTATATTAATGAGGAAGTCACTGTGGAAAACTGGCTCATTCCCTCCCCGACTGAGGCACCTTTGAGAAACCATGAAAAATTTGCTTACCAAGGAACATGGAAACTGAAATATTCATCCACTGATGCCCGTTGCTCATTGTTTGATGGTTGCCTTTACAGACATATACAGGTGGCACTTCCTGGCTCTTCCAAGCAGGCTGAGCAAGCTCCAGGGTACTGGACAAAGCCATGAGGTAGGGAGGCAAGCACAGGGGGTCTTGGCCCTTCCACTGGACTCTCAACTCCACATTCTGAGCCACCTTCCTTTTCCATCAGAAATGGCTTGGTCTTCAGCTGAGCGGCATTCTTAGCTATTTGCCACCTGTGGAAGTTTAAAGACCCAAAAGACTTCATTTTGAATGCTCTCTGTTCATTTCAAGTTAGTACAATTTCTATTAAAATGCATACTTTTTATGTATTAAACCATATTCCACTCGACTGGGTAAATGCCACATTCAGATTTCTTTCTGAGACAGGCCCTTTTTCATTTTGTGCCTGGCACAAGACAGGTGCTGAACAAAGCCCTTAAGTCTTAAAAGCTCTGCTGTTCGGTAAAGAACGCCTGAGAGACACACCACAGAGATTCTTAAAACAAGACAAATACTTTACTTCTGAATTTTTAACATTGGGTTTTACACTCGCACACTGGACTACATTTTTACTCTATGACAGTATTCTACGTTGAGTTAGGTCTTTTCTCTGAGACCATTTCTTACTTTGAGGTCTTTTTGATTGGGCTCTCTATATTTCTTTTAAATTGTGCTTGAAAATGTATCAGTTTCTTTTTAAGCTCATCTCTTTCTATCTCTACTTTATCACATGTTGCTAAAAGAAACCAGTTGACACTTTCAATATTTGTCCAAGAAATCTCCTTAACCAAATCTACCAGTTGGTGGTGACAGTTTCTATTTTTCACATTACTACAGATAGCAGTGTGGCCAAACTTTTCACCACCACATACCATAGATCGCCTGTCTCCAGGTTTTTTTTTTGGTTTTGTTTTTGGTTTTGTTTTTGTGTTTTGGTTTTTTTTCCCAGAGAAAGCATACACTCACAGAAGACAGAGAGAGAGAAATAAATCACTTCCCGTACTATGGATGGGGTATGGTCATGCTTCGATCCCTTCTTCTCTCTCCCTCCTTTCATGATTCTGGGCATGCATGCACACACACCTGGTGTGTTTCTCAAGCCACTGCATCTGGGACTCAATTTGTGCAGTCAGCTGTATGGGATCCAGCCATCTTAACCACCAGTCCGTGACTTGGACCTCTCCTGCCTCTGGTATCAGCTTCCTAAATATCCAAGCTTTCACTACCATTGTAGCTCATACGAGAACCTTCACATCTCTACCAGTCTCTAAATCAGTGAGTGACATGGAACAGAAATGTATTCATTCTACAGATCAGACCATATAGCTGTGGGCAAAACCAGTGTAGTTGAAGTTCAGAAAGGGTTAGCTGGAGAATCAAATAAAAGTCATTAACAGGCACCACAAACAGGAACTGGTGGAGAAACAGGTGGAAGGCTGTTAGCGTTAGATCTCTGGGCTTAAAGTTGTTGAAGTTCAGAACTAATGTTTGGGAAGAAAATGTGACATGAAGTGAGAGAGAGGAAAAAATCAAATTCCGTAAGGACCACTCTACCCCCACAGGACAAACCACAAGCCACATCTCTCTCTCATCACCTCTCTCTTAAAGATGCAGATTCACTCACCCCAAAGATGCACATGAAGCTGGTTCAGGAGGCTGGAAGAGATTGTGCACAATCTGGAAAATCTGCAGGCTCAGCCACTGCCCTGCACCAACAAGGTGAGTGGCGATCAGGGCAGGTGAGCAGCAGTTCCTGTGTCCCACCCCAGCCTTCCGAACAGGTTTGTGGCTGCTTTGGTTCTGCCTTTCCAGCCCCATGCAGATTTCTCTTATAGTCAGCTCTAACCAGAATCACACCAGGAAGGAAATCGGGAAACCGAGTTCCAGTTTAGCTAAGTCAATAGCATATAAAGCTATCACAAAAGCTCCAAGCTCATGGTCTCTGTCTTAAAGAAAGCATTTAATAAATGCTAACCATTTATTTGTATTCTTGCCACCTGGTCTCACCCTAACACTCAACAGGTGCTCCGATGAGTTTGCTCGACAGTAACTTGGTTTATATACCAGGTTGACTGGTATATCTCATTCTTGGAAACATTTCCTCCATGCAAATTATGTCTTTCTTCTTGTAAACAGAGAAGAGCCTTCTGCACCAACTGCATACTTGATTAATTTCCCTTCCCCTGGGCCAAGTAGTTTATTACTAAGAACTAAAATACTCTACATTCTACTTACTCCAGAAAACAGCAGCATTAAAATCCATTTGAACTTAGCAGTCAGAAGAAAGATGAGCCCATGGTGTTACCATTTTCAATGAGGCCTGAGTGAAAGGGCAGGGTCCATGCTTGAACACTTTCTCCTCATTAGCACTTCAGTTCCTGCACTGGGCTCCAGCCCCACCTCGCTGACCCAACTCAGACAAGGGGAACTGAGTGATGAGGTGATAATGAGGAGAAAATGTCCTGCCCTGTTCTGGGCCTGGCTGGTACAAAGCAGGACCACAGGGGTGAAACTGCACCTGGGTGTTTTAAAAATCTTTCTTCATTTGGGAAGCAGCATGGTGAAAATGTATCATCCTAATGAAGAAGAAGAGGCTCCAGCAGTAGTGAGCACAGGTAAGAAAATGTGCTGCTCTGGGCTCAGTGAATAAGCTCCATCCTTTTTATAATAGGCCTTTTAGAAAATCCTGGCATTGCTCTCAGCTCCTTAGTATGTAACTGTATTAGAAAAGATGGTGTGGGGGGAGGACCAGCAGTTAGTGTAATGGCTATGTTGCTGGACTCCCACGTAGTCCACCATGGTTCGAGTCCCAGACCTGATGGCTCAAACTCACACCAGGTGCCTGTGCGTGCATGCCCAAGATCCCGAGAGGAGAATGGAGTCGAAGGGATTGCAGCGTGACTATGCCCCCTGGGGGGTGATTTCTCGCTTTCTGTCTCTCTGTCTCTCTGTCTCCCGGTCTCTCTCTCTCTCTCTCTGGCAAGTGCACGTGCCCTATAGCAAAAAAAAAAAAAAAAGGAAAAAAAGAAACCTCAGTGGTTAATTTTACCCTGTGCCTGAGATCACCACCCTGTTGTTTTGGGGAAATCTGGGCATATCTCTGGAGAGGTTTACTCCCCTAGAATTTAGTAGGATTAAGCAATACCTTTCAAAGTATGCATAAACTAAAATCAAAATTAATTTATACTATCAGCTCACAAAAGAGCAGTCTGTTTCCGATGCTACCTTATTTTTCTATCAGTAGTCATATTTATGAGTAGATTAAAGTGGTTTCAAAAAACATTTCCATTATTACCTCACAGTTAATTAAAAGTTATTTAATATAACTTTTAATACTGCCCAAATCCAGGAGAGAGTAAAATGAACTTCCAGATGTACTATCAAATTAATTTTGCCATTTTTTTCTCCTAATGTGTAAAATCCACACCCCTTCCCCTCAACTAATTTATTTTTAGTTTGATAAGAGTGTGACAGCTCAAAGCAAGGTTCTCATGGAGCCTATACCCAGATGCTGTCTGGTCTTTCTCACTCCTTCACTAGGGACCCATTCCAGGAATCCAGGGACACTATATCCTGGTTCTTACACATGGACCAAGTTACCACAAATGTTTTATATTATTTTGAACTTCCCTTGTTTCTTATTAAAAGTTGTTTTTGAAGGGGCAAGTAAACTGTGCAAAGGTGAGTTGATGTAGGATTTGAGTTTTGTTCTAACTTCATCAGTTTCGATCCTTATTTTAAAATGTAGACTAGAAACAGAAGGGTCTGGGGACCAGTAGATGGCATAATGGCTATGTCACTGGACTACCATGTAGTCATCCACGGTTCAAGTCCCAGACCCGGTGGCTTAAACTCATGCTGGGCACATGTGTGCATGTGTGCCCAAGATCCCGAGAGGAGAATGGAGGAGAAGGGATTGCAGTGTGGCCATTCCCCCTGGGGGGTGATTTCTCACTTTCTGTCTCTCTGTCTCTCTCTGTCTTTCTGGAGAGTGCACTTGCCCTATAACAAAAACTTCTTCAAAAAAAAAAGGAAAAAAAGAAAAAGAAACAGAAGGGTCTGAACTTCCTATTGAGCCTGGGAGTATAGGGCCAGTTATCAAAGCCGCACAGAGAGAAGGACATGAGCAGTTGTAAGCACCAGGTTACTAAAGGTGAGAACGCTGGATGAATCCCAGAATTCACTTCAGAGGGCAGTTTTCTCTTCAGTGGGTCAAAGACCTGAGAAAGCACATTAGACCCACCTAACCTAGAAACAGACTGAATCTTGTTCAATATCAAAAAGGTGATCTTATGTTTATTTCCGTCTACCATGGAATAGTAGCAGTTCATTTCTATTATTCCTGCCTAAGTTTTATTTATTTATTTATTTATGGGGAGGAGGGAGAAATAGGCATTTCTGACAGAATCTTGCTATGTCATGATCCTTCTGCCCCCAACCTTCCAGGCCTCTGCGACCACCACACCCAGCTTGTTTTAGGTTGTCAGGAAACAGAATCAGGCCTTCCATGTACCCCACTCTTTTTTTTAATTAGTTATTAAATTTTATCTATTCCTTTATTTTTAATGTGACAGAGAGAGACACAGAAATAGAAAGAGGGGAAGTGAGAAAGCCAGGCACCAGGTCCAAGACTTGAACCATGGTCAGCCATATGGGAGTGTCCAGCACCTTAACCACCATGCCACCTGCTGGTCCCTCCTGCCTCTGGTATCAGCTTCCTAAATATCCAAGCTTTCACTACCATTGTAGCTCATACGAGAACCTTCACATCTCTACCAGTCTCTAAATCAGTGAGTGACATGGAACAGAAATGTATTCATTCTACAGATCAGACCATATAGCTGTGGGCAAAACCAGTGTAGTTGAAGTTCAGAAAGGGTTAGCTGGAGAATCAAATAAAAGTCATTAACAGGCACCACAAACAGGAACTGGTGGAGAAACAGGTGGAAGGCTGTTAGCGTTAGATCTCTGGGCTTAAAGTTGTTGAAGTTCAGAACTAATGTTTGGGAAGAAAATGTGACATGAAGTGAGAGAGAGGAAAAAATCAAATTCCGTAAGGACCACTCTACCCCCACAGGACAAACCACAAGCCACATCTCTCTCTCATCACCTCTCTCTTAAAGATGCAGATTCACTCACCCCAAAGATGCACATGAAGCTGGTTCAGGAGGCTGGAAGAGATTGTGCACAATCTGGAAAATCTGCAGGCTCAGCCACTGCCCTGCACCAACAAGGTGAGTGGCGATCAGGGCAGGTGAGCAGCAGTTCCTGTGTCCCACCCCAGCCTTCCGAACAGGTTTGTGGCTGCTTTGGTTCTGCCTTTCCAGCCCCATGCAGATTTCTCTTATAGTCAGCTCTAACCAGAATCACACCAGGAAGGAAATCGGGAAACCGAGTTCCAGTTTAGCTAAGTCAATAGCATATAAAGCTATCACAAAAGCTCCAAGCTCATGGTCTCTGTCTTAAAGAAAGCATTTAATAAATGCTAACCATTTATTTGTATTCTTGCCACCTGGTCTCACCCTAACACTCAACAGGTGCTCCGATGAGTTTGCTCGACAGTAACTTGGTTTATATACCAGGTTGACTGGTATATCTCATTCTTGGAAACATTTCCTCCATGCAAATTATGTCTTTCTTCTTGTAAACAGAGAAGAGCCTTCTGCACCAACTGCATACTTGATTAATTTCCCTTCCCCTGGGCCAAGTAGTTTATTACTAAGAACTAAAATACTCTACATTCTACTTACTCCAGAAAACAGCAGCATTAAAATCCATTTGAACTTAGCAGTCAGAAGAAAGATGAGCCCATGGTGTTACCATTTTCAATGAGGCCTGAGTGAAAGGGCAGGGTCCATGCTTGAACACTTTCTCCTCATTAGCACTTCAGTTCCTGCACTGGGCTCCAGCCCCACCTCGCTGACCCAACTCAGACAAGGGGAACTGAGTGATGAGGTGATAATGAGGAGAAAATGTCCTGCCCTGTTCTGGGCCTGGCTGGTACAAAGCAGGACCACAGGGGTGAAACTGCACCTGGGTGTTTTAAAAATCTTTCTTCATTTGGGAAGCAGCATGGTGAAAATGTATCATCCTAATGAAGAAGAAGAGGCTCCAGCAGTAGTGAGCACAGGTAAGAAAATGTGCTGCTCTGGGCTCAGTGAATAAGCTCCATCCTTTTTATAATAGGCCTTTTAGAAAATCCTGGCATTGCTCTCAGCTCCTTAGTATGTAACTGTATTAGAAAAGATGGTGTGGGGGGAGGACCAGCAGTTAGTGTAATGGCTATGTTGCTGGACTCCCACGTAGTCCACCATGGTTCGAGTCCCAGACCTGATGGCTCAAACTCACACCAGGTGCCTGTGCGTGCATGCCCAAGATCCCGAGAGGAGAATGGAGTCGAAGGGATTGCAGCGTGACTATGCCCCCTGGGGGGTGATTTCTCGCTTTCGATGGAGGGGGAGGGATGGAGGGAGATGGAAGGAAGGAAGGAGGGTGGGAGGTAAGAAAGGGAAAGATAAGTAAAAGATCTTTTATTTATCTTATTTTATTCTAAGCCATAAGAAGCTCCCAGTCTCTAGCTCTGTTCCAGTTTTCACAAGCGCTCTTTCAGCAGCATTGATTCTCCCAGGTGTGCGGAATGCCCACAATATACAAGTGCTTTGCCAGGCCCTAGACAAAAGCTTGAGAAGAAAGTCACATCTGGAGAGAGGGAAAAAAAGGCACTTGCTCTTTCCAAGGTGGCTATCACTACAACTTAGAGCTCTGATAATGAAGGAAAGAAGAGAATGAAAT